ATGTATGCAGAATTCGATTGCGTACTCTGTGGTTTGACCACAGAGGTTCACCTTCTTCCCCCTTCCCCAAAATAAGTCCATTCTCTGTTCACCTTAAATTTTACCACTAACCTTGTATGCATTGCGAGTTTGGCGGGGATCAGTGAAATTCGCCTCACTGTACAATGATGATGATTACGTGTTCATCAATGGAAGTACTGATTCCCCGGTGTATTTATATCGGGAATACTACAGTGTTATCATTGCAGTTGTCAAAATCCGTCAGTCATGTACGGTACCGGCATTCAACAGTAGCTACGAGGGGAAAGAACTGCAAGAAGTAGGAACTTTTTTTCGAATAACGTTCACCTACTAATGAGTAGCTTTTGGATTGCAAAAACCAATTTGCAGTGGAATGTGCTCTGCTCAGGTTACTTGTATTTTGATTTTTAACTCCTCGTGCTGAAACAATAGAGTAAGCAAAACTCATAGTCGGGAGAAAATATTGTTCGGTTAGGGAAACCATTACCCCTCGGTTGGAGTGGTGAATGTTGTATAACGGGAAAGTTATGTTATTAAACCTGGTAACAATGGAAACGCCTTCCGCGAACACAGTGTCCGTGAAGAGAACGTTTGTGTGACAATCTGAGTTGACTACTGAAGGCTCGGTATAGTTGTTAGGACGCGGTGTGTTTGTAATCTGACGGAAATCCGTGCGCGGTTTGACGGGTTCTGTGAGCTCCGTCCTAATCAATATACTTACCCACCAATTTTGCTAAACGTTTTACGCGTGGATCGCAAATTTCAACGGTCACGTGCAAAAAACGTGAGATTCGGCAATCCCACATGAGTTGACAAAATTAAACGGGTAGAAATGCATAAGGGATTTACAAAGCTGCTTCCGTTGACGAGAGAATAAACAACTGAAATGTTCCGGTTACATGCTGTTCAAACGCCGTGATCCTTGAGTCCCTACCCTAGTGAGACTATTGAGCATCGATTTATTACGATTGATTGGAAAAATCGCACTATCTAATACGTATTTCCCAGTGGGAGAACCCATATGAAGGCACACATGCACATCCTGGATGATAGCATTTTGCCAAACTGTTCAGAGCGGACTAGCAAGTTCAAATGACGTCAAACTTTGTTGCCAGCTACATAGATCAGCTTTCCGTGGGTCTAAACGACAACTGTTAGCGAAGTTCACTGTGCTCAGAACAACTTATATGTCAGCTGCTGTGAAATTCCTAGGAATAATGGGCGGGATACCGGTCTCGATGATGTCACGATTTGGTGCACATCAGTATGATAAGCGGCAAAAGCCGAGATTAATATCACCACAATAAGATCGAGCAACAGGTATCATCAAACGATTGAAAACCAGAGAGTAATCGAAAGTTCCATGATAACGTCATCGTTTCTTTACCCCCAGAACCATTGGCATTGACC